GGATCTGCATATCGTATCCAATCCAGTCTTCATCATCGCTAATATCTAACTGTGCCTTTCGTGGTCTGAGCGTCAACACGAGCGTCAACACGTTCAAGGGCGTGTCGCTCGACATCATGGATATAGGGGCCTCCAAGTTTCTACGACTTCCGCTGCAAGATGAATGAGCTCGAGCGCCGACTGGGCTCCGTGCTCACGCAGGAGGGGGGGGGGGGGTTACGACAGTGAAAGAAGAGCTCCTACACGAGCTTCAGGTCGTGTCCATAGGTCTGCACGAGCGCCACGTACTTCTTCTTGAGCTCGACCTGGATAATGGAGCGGTTGAGCAGTCCTTCGAACGAGCCCCAGCAGTGTACGGCGCCCGAAGACGGTCAGGCAGTTGTCTAAGCCCCTCATCAGCTGGAACCTGCCGTCAGTGGCCGGCGATCTCACGTGGTGTCGTGGCCTGGTGGAGCGTATCGAGCACCCGATGAAGAAGCTGCGTGAGCCGATGGAGCGCGAAGAGGCCAAGGAGGTCTACAAGGTCTACAGCACCATCATGGCGTCGATGCAGGAGTACGAGAACCAGAAGGTGGAGGAGTGGAGTCGCGACGTCGAGGCGTCTTCGCAATCTAAGCTCAAGTACCCACTACTGCTGCGTCACCCGCAGACGCGCTCCTTCGCGTCAACTTCGACCCAGTGCTCGCGAAATCAAGTACTTGCGGCTGCTCAACGTTGAGGTGCCTCAGTCGGCGCTGCAGACCTCCGCCAAAGGGGAGATGTTCCACAAGTGCCGAGGGGAGATCATGTACACCGTGGAGACGAACAACGCCATGATCGAGGGCGTTCACCCGCTGGAGGAGTCGCTGGTGCGTCGGTACATCCAGAACAGCAACGCGTGTGTTGGGCGAGGCATTGAGAAAGAGCGAAGGCATTAACTCGTTCATTGACGAGTGTCGCAAGGCCGCGGAAACCGAAATGAGATCGTGATGAACCTCAAGGACAACCTCAACACGATCCAGGACACACTCAGTGCCTCGAACGTGCCTCTGCTGGAGCTCCAGGCCTAGCCTGTGGCCGTGAGCAAGCACGAGCGCCAGCACAAGAGCTACATCGTGCAGCGAATGCTCATATCCGCGAGGGCGCAACGGAAGTCCATCGCCGACTGAATCAGTCCAACACGGTCATCATCAAGAAGGAGGCTCGAAGTCGGCGAAGGACCAAAACCGCCTGCCCATGCTGGAGATTAAGCTCGACCTGATCGATCGCGAACCACGTGCAGTTCAACTTGGCCATTGGTGAAAACCACGGCAGGGGGCTGAGCGACACCATTCAGATATGAATCAACTAGTTCTTTGGCCACTGCCGTCAAACGTCTGGACTCGGATGGGGACGGCTCGTCCTTGAAGGACATGTACTCGGATATGACGATCCCTATCGTGCTGGCCGCGGTCAGCGAGTACCAGGAGGAGAACGAGGTCATGCTGGCCGCCTTCGAGGGAAAATACGACGGCTACGGCTACCTACTGGAAGAGTACGCTGTGGGTGAGCTTCCAGAAGAGCACGTCCGAGCGATACACGCGCACGTCATGAAGCAGCGGAAGATGGGGGCGACCGACTACCAGATCATCAAGGCCTGGAAGGTCTACAAGGATACGGAGCCGCTCGTGAAGAACATGCCGACGGTGCTGCCTCTGATCAACGATCTCCACTCGGAGGGCATGCAGAAACGACACTGGGGGGAGGGGGGGGGGCTGTCTACCATCTGCCCCATCGAGCCGAAGGACCCCAAGTTCTGCCTGGCCAATCTGCTGAAGCTGAACCTCTACATGCACGTGGACTGCGTGAAGATCGAGAAGAAGCTCAAGACGATCGAGAAGCTGTGGCGTCCCTCACAAGTACTCGGGCACATTCGTCATGAAACCGTCCGAGGAAGTGGTGAAAGTGCTCGAGAGCAACCAGATCGAGCGGCAGACCAAGATCGGCATAGGCTAGCTGCTGTGCATGCGAACCGAAAGGCCAAGTACCAGTTGCTACCAGCACGAGCTCTGCTCGTTGTTGTGGACGAGTTCGAGTTCATGGGCCGTCAGACCGCGTCACGCTCATTCCGACTTGTGGCTTCTTCATCACAATGGCTCTTGGTTACGCTGGGTGCACGCAGCTGCATGAGAACCTCAAGATGCTTTTGCGCTCGTGCGCTATGCTATATATGATCCGACTGGACCTGAAGCGCATTTGGCATAACATGCTCATGCCCGAAGTCTTCAGGAGGCACGCATGCCGGTCATTAAGTTCGTAACGCTGTACGCACTGAGTGGCGAGCTGGTGTCCAGGAAGTTCCGCTACGACTGGGGGCACCGAGCCGTCAAGTAGTCGCTGGTAAAGCGAGCCGACGTCGAAGGTACAAGATGCCCTACGTGACTTCAACAACCTGCATCACGACCCTTTGATCTTCCTTCATCTCATCAACGACCTGTTCACCGGTGTCGAGCGCCCAAGGACAACTCGGAGCCCGAAAGGCGCCTCTGGTACTATGCAAGTCCAAGTATCTGCAGAACACCGACGTGTTCTGCCAACTGCAGTTGATCAAGATGCATTTTCAACTTGAATCACAAGGAACCCAAGCTGATCGCCCCGAAAGCCTTCCTTACCGAGGCGAGCGACCGAGGCGAGAGAATGCCTCCCAGCCATAGCAAAGGTAACAAAGTTATTGTGACTGCATTGCTAAAGCTAACCCTGCTAAATGCAACAATTTTGAGCCAATAGTCTTCAACAGCCTGAGGTCAATTTGTCATTACAAGAAATGGGACCGAAGAAGAAACGTTACCGGCGCTGCCACGGCCCTGATGGCCGCTTCGTGCCTTCTAGCGGACAAGGCACACACAAGAAAAGCAGTGGCGTGATCAAGACAGCCAAGTTGAGCAGAGAGGAGCAATTGAAGGTGCTACGTGACTACGCCAGGCGTAAGAGAGAGAAGGCCCGCGCATACAGAGACCGCCACAGGAAGGAAATGCTGGAGCGATATCACCGTCTTCGAGGCAAGCCTACAGCAGCAGCTGATCCTCCACTTGAAAGCGCAGCAGCAGCAGGAACGACGGCAACTGGAGTTATTGATGGTACATCAGACGTGGAAACGGTCGCTGTGGAAGATAAACCTGACGAAACGGGAGATTTTGTTGCATCTGGCGGCGTTTTCGGAGGGAACCAAGAAGCTGAAGGGAAGCAAGAAGATGACACTGACGACACCGAGGAAATGGAAGAAAACCAAGAGGATCCAGTGATCGCCCGAGTTTTGGCTTCGTACACGTCCATCACCAAGAATAAGCACGTGGACAAATTTCGTTTCCCAGATCTCCCATCAGATTGGGAGTTTGAGGTTGCAGATTGCCCTCGCTAGGAGCTATTTGTGACGGATGATCTCCGGGGTATAGGAGTGAGGACCTTGGAAGATATACCCCGGAATCACTTTATTGAATATGTGGGTGAGCTGATAAGTGAGTACGATAAACTCTGCGTTCCTGACGGGAGATACCTGATCGAGTTGGTGGTCAACGCGGATAACCCAGATGCCTCCGTCTACATCTACCCAGACAAGTTCGGAAATATCGCGAAGTTCATCAACCACAGTTGTGCTCCCAACTGCACAGCCATGCTCGTGAACGATGGTACAGCACGCCGGATTGCTATAATGACGCGTAAGAAGATCAAGGCTGGAGAGGAGCTGACGTTCAAGTATTCTGACAGCAAGGAGTACTTCGAAACCTATTTCAGATGTGTGTGCAACACTAAGAACTGCATTAGTAACAAGATGTAGTGACACTGATTTTTTTAATCTATTACAAAACCATGAGTGTTCGGTTGGCGAGTATACATGAGTCATGATTTAGTTGTATCAACGCGTTACAGCGGGCTCGGTAATTGAGGACATCATCTAAGGTAATTTAGCCGGTAATATACATACAAGTATCAAGTCAAATGACTTTTCTGTGTCGTTTGGCCGCACAGAATTATCGCATTATCTTGGTTTGGTATGAAATTACACTTTTCGATAAAAAAACACTTGGACATCAATCCAAATGGCCACCCTGTTTTATCTTGGTTTTGCATTGGGCTCTCCATGATAAGCCCGATTTCCAATATGGAAGAAAACCATCGGGCACTGCCTGGTTATCTGAGCCAATTGTTGGCGTCTACAACGCTAATTAGGGTAGCAACATCATAACCTTCCATATAGTGTGCACCTTACACTCTTATAGCAGTTAGAAGCATTATCTTCCGATAAATAGCTGGCCCACTTGGCTTGCAGATCTTTTATTTTGATTTCTGTATGAATGGGAGCCATCTGTTACCATACCGCTGAACAATTAGTGACATACACCAATATAACGGCCTACCCACGCACACACAACTGTGACTATTTGCAGGGACACTCGATCAAGCATTGCCGCTTTGATACGGTATTCTTAGCGACACCAATTTCACCCTAATAACTACTGACCCACACGCTATTGAACTGAATACAATGTCTAGCAGAGCTTTCGGCCTACCAATCGCTGTGGGGGCTACCCATAACTTTACCCTACAACGTATACGAGCCAAACTTTCATGTGTCTCGACTATTTGGTCTATTTCTGCTTCTACATCACTTTTAAAAGCGACGACCGCTCATTAGCGAGCTTGGTACAAGGTTTAGGGGGCGTTCAGTCTACCAATCACTTTGTGGACATCCCTGAATATCCTACAACGTACACAAGCCATAAGTCTTGTTCTATCATACAGTAGTAGTTACTACATCCTCAATCCTGTAAGGAAAAGAAAACAGCTCATATAGCCGGTCATACCTCATGTTTTAGTACATGTAACAGAGTTGCCCTGACATGAAGCTCTTGATTTGCTGTATCGCACACTATTTTTTCAAATGCGTGGTCACGGCAATGCCCGGCCGGCATTGGGCGATATTGGCCTGTTTAATTGATCGGATTTTGCAGGTGTCGAGTTTGAATTTGCAGCGTTAATAGCCAATAAAATTAAAGGGTTTTCCCTTACAGATCTTTGATGTTGGCGTTTTGTCCAATCAGAAGTGTTGTGGCAAGGCAATTCGACCAATCAGACATGGAGATTTTAACACTGATTCTCGCGTTGAAAGGCGACGCCACATCTGAACGATTGTGACCAACTATATCCGCACCTATGTATTTCGAGTGCTGCTGCCTCTAAATATGTAGGTAACCACTACTAACAACAACTAGTACACACAACATGTAGCATAGTAGCAGCGGTGAGGCGGTAACGACCTCGCTTTTCGAGCTCTCTTTGTTACCATGCTTGTAATAGCCTAAAGATTGGCACCCCAGGTCCAAATGTACCACAGGTCGTGCATACCACAGCCACGGATTATTCTTTCCCTTACATTACTGTTTACGTTAGTCGCTATACGGTTTATAGCAATCACAAATTAGACAGAAAGAGAGGTATGTTTTATCAGAAGACAACATGATTAATTCCTAGTAGAGAAACAAGTCGATTCCGCTCTTCCCGACTGAATATCTAATGAACCACCAGTCCTTTCCTCGTGAAACTTTACTACATTACTGTATGGCTCCCCACCATTGTACCTGTCAAGTTACAGCACCATCGGAGGGAGTGCCAATTAATTAGGCACCTCCGTTCAGGTAAATCGGCTGTTTTTGTCGCCTTTCAACGCAAGAATCAGAGTTAAATACGAGCAGTTTGCAGCCAATGGTTTTAATTTATAGTAGTTATTGTGCCTTGCACACATTTAGCCACCCTGTTTTAACCGTCATATCGAGATGGCTCAGCAAATAAAATAACTGTATAAACAGGCCAGTACCCATAAATTGATCCTCCTAGAATTGCTCGCGAGACTGAATGTGTGCAATACGTTCTAACGAGCAGCAGATACTGTGTCTGATGTGGAAATGCCAATCTAAAACGGCATTCCCAGCAATATGAGCTAGATCGATCTCGATGTGAGTAGTGGGCCGAAGCTGAGCCATCAAATCAGGGGTGATGCATGGATTATGTGTATACAACAGCCCACGAAGCCCAGAGCGGCTGGGCGTCCTCGCGGCAGTCGAGCACTTCACCTTACACGATGACAATCGCTACCATGTCACAACGATCCATTAGGCAGTCGATCTTGTGCGCTGACAGCAGCAGTTGTCGTGGGTATGGCCTTTTGCCAGAGATACAGTAGACTGCCACCAATCACGCTAGATCATTACTCCGGTAGTTATCCCAAGCCTCGTCGTTCACTAGTGATCCGCGTCAGCAATACAAACCACATCGGATGGCACTGCAGAGGCTTCTTCATCGTCCGTATCGTCGATAACTCTCGAAACAACTGCTTCGACATGTGGGCAGTGGCGTCGTTGCGGGCTGGAGCTTTATGTCCGCGAAATTGAAAATGAGATCAAAAGCAATGGGCCGGTGATGCTCAAGAGAAATGAATGGTTCTGGGAGCTCGGAGGTTGATGTGGTCTTTCACTATAGTTTAGGTTATAGTGTACGGGATAGGCGACGCCAAGCTGAAAATGGGTTTATACGAATTGAGTAAACTTCGTGAAAAGAGTCTCCATTTAACGCGTATTTATATGTTTTCTTAAAAACAAGTAATGACATTTTCTTCGTTGGACATCCGTTCTCCGTTCAGTACAGACAAGAACGTTGTATGTGAGCGGCAAATACATAATAAAGAGTGAGGCTTTGGCCATGTCGAACGTGCAGTCAAACTGGACCTACTGCTACATGGCGACAAAGCTAATCTAGCGCAGCAGTCTGTAACGCCCAAGTGCGGCAGCTCGCTCGGCAGTTTGGTTTTGCCTAACACCACCAGCGACGAGGATGTCGAATAAGATGAAGTAGAATTTGAACCTGGCAACAAGCGATGGCCACGACATTGACAGGATTCGGAATGACCTCTGAACAGTACCTTGGATTAGCTGCATTATATACATGACATATACATATATATGCTTGCGCATTGCTACTTACATCATTCTTGTTCCATAAGCAAAACCAATTGACATACCCCGGCCCCACCAAACCGGAAGATGGCGGGCAAGCTTAGTTCCAAACGAATATTTGGAAACGTAACGCCGTGTGTAGTTATCAACATTACCAAAACATCAAAACCGGTTTCTAGTTGCTAATATCTTTCCCATCATTACACTTCCTACGAAGTAGGATGCAACGATCGGTCTCACATGATTTACTTCGATTGTCGCAATTCACTGCGAGGACGGAATCAGTGATATTCAGGGTGACCACAGGAACCCATCGGGCTCGTATGGTTGCCTACATTGTATATTCCATATTGTATATCATGCCAAACGTACTAGGACGCATCTGAACAAGTGGTACCAAGGCGCGACCCGGTACACCTTACAACAAACAGGAAGCAAAACCCGTGAACAGTGTATAATCAGCCAGCAGGCTAAATACGAATCACGAAACCAAATACGGCATCCGCCATCGTCGTGCGCCCCGAACGCGTTCTACTAACCTGTGCGTTGCGTGCTCGCAGGTGCGGGTGGTAATGGCCAGGAGCCGAAAGCGACCTGGAGACGAGTAGTTGATACGGACGTGCCTGCCAGACCGTGAAGTGGGCTTGCAGCAACCGCAATCGGCATGCATCGCGAACAGGGTTATCGTACTTTCGGCCTACTAATATGTGCGTTGCGAACGTGTAGGTGCGGCTGTGTCACGGGTACCGATGATTTTTACGTAAAAATGACTTTTTACTTTTTACGTATTGGCGTCGCCTATCCGTCGCATCATACAAAGCGCAAGAGAGTTTAATTCATCGTCCCTCCCCCCAGGAAACCCACAGGCACCGCCCCTTCCCATTTCCAGATTTTGCTGTCGAGCGAGATGCCGGCACGACACCGTCATTCATCGTCGGACGACGACGCAGAAGAAGAAACCAAGGGAGACCTCGGGCCTGTCGCTTGCACCCACACAAAACACCCTGGAGCTGCAGTCACTCAGTCGGGGGTTGGCGACGACGAAGGCATCGCGACGCAGCCCGACGACCCGGCCCTGACCCAGCTCAACGCGGACGGTGAGGCGCGGCGTCGAAATGACAATCAGCTACGAGCCGAAGAAGTCAGGGCATCACAGGGCCACACGACGGGTCAGTCACAACCTCCGGAGCTCACGCACCAAGATGATGCCGCGCCGCAAACAACTTCTGCTGCGGATAAGCACCGCCAAGGTGACACCCCGGGGCAGGACGGTTCTGCAGAAGCTTCCAAGGCGTCTGAAGCCTTTAAGACACGATCATCTACCGAGACGGATGAGGCGAGGCGGTTGAACGCCTTTTCCGTCCAGGTGTATAGTGTGCGAATATTCCGGGAGAACAAAGTCTCTTAGAACTTCTCATGCGGATACACCAGAAGATGTCCGCCCGAGATGGCGTGTGTTCCTTGTGACAATCCCTCTCGGGTCGTTTGTCTTCGAACCAAGGAGCTCGGCCGAGTTGGTGAGTTGTTGTACACTGTTGGGTTTCCGAGCGGGGTGTGATACGTATTTCCAAATGTAGCCCCTACGACTCTGGACGAACCACAAATACAGAGTTACACACAAATACAAATATCCGCCACTTATTCTTTCGGACCCTCGGACGGTGGGTCACTACTCCAGCCAACTAACGAGTCGTATCCAGGGTACTGGTCAACCGTGGGCGACATCAAACGCGCACTACTCCCAAATCTACTGAGAGGAAATAACCAATATCAATACCCTAGCACACAATAGGCTTTCAGCCAAGTTCCAGGCGGCGCTATTCACTCCGCCCGAGATGTAATCGATAATATGAAATGCAGGACCTCGCTCTGGGCGAGAATACGGTGCAACTAGGAAATGAAATAGGCGGATCACCCTGAGACGCCTGTACGCCCCAGTCCCCTTACCTTACTTGGCGTACTTACTTCAGGGAGAGATCCAACCACGGTCGTACCTAGCCGCGGTGCCCGGTCGTCCTGCGCTTCCTGCTCTTCTTGGCGGCTTGCGGGTTTCAGGGGAAAACGAACTCTGTTTATCTTTTACTCTGTGGCTATCTTCCTGCAACTTAGACATGCATTCTGCTTTTCACTTGATTTCACTATACCTTGGTTGACGTCGACATCCCGGCCGAGCCGAAATCCAGTGTAGAGTCGTGGGTACAAATCACCTCCTTCAACCTTCCACGGAATCTTTGCCCATCCTTGGTCGGTCTGCCTGGTCGGTCGGAAACATCTTGACTTGAGTATACCTTGATCGTATCTCCCAGACTTACACCCGGCCAGAGTCGCAAAATGAGTTAGCGATCGGCCAGGGTCGCTGGTCGATATGCATCCTGGGCGAGTCTTCACCGGGTCCCAGATCCTCGTACTTGTCGCGCAGTCCACGTCATCCAATCATCCAATTTCAGCCAATCATACTGCGCCCAGACCAAAATCCAATTTTCCGTCGTGTCAACCGCCCATCTCGTCTTGCTTGGTCACCGATGCCATTTGCCGAAATGATCAAGCTTGACTAGACCACACGATCTGATGTCTGGGCGGAGTGTTGACAACCGTTTCGATTCGCCCGGGCTTGCAACGGTCGCGTCCCTTCTGTGCTCCCTCTCCCAGCCGAATCTTTCTCAGCCACGTCTGAGGCCATCAATCATTCGCTCGGGCTCGCCACGACCTCTCCGTTCACAACGCAATCTGCCACCTCGCCGACACACGATGTCCACGAACACCTCCGACGCCGACCTGATCGCCGACGCTGCGCTGCTCCCGCTTGAGCCGCTGCCCATCCCGGATGGTGCGGCTGGCGGTGGCACCAACAACTCGAAGGCCGACCCGAAAGGCAGCGACAAGGGGTCTTCCGCGAACGCATGTGGTGACGAGGCGATGGACACCGGCGACGAGCGCGACAACAACAATGCGGATCACGATGGCGAAGCGGTCGAAGACGGCGACACGAAAGGGGAGGAGAAGGGCAACAATGCCGACATGGAAATGGTCGACGACGCCGCCGGCATTTCCGCATCCGGCCAAACCATCGGCGCCACGTCCGGGCGGACGCCTTCGGGCGAGCAGCCCCAGCTCTTCACGGCCAAGATACGGGTCGTCAGGGGCATCCGCTGGGGTCTACGCCGGTCTTCCATCTTCTGGACTTCGAGCAACTCATCGAGCACATCCGGGCGGGGACTCTCCCTTCGCGTGACCAGGGCCCGCGCGGCATCCAGAACGCGTTGCCGGCGCGCTACACTGTTCCGCCGGAGCACTCTCTGGGCGGGAAGTCCTTCATAGTCGGTGTCCCAGCGGGAGGCCATGCGCACCGCGAGAGTGCCTTCCTGTGCGAGGGGTACGGTGGTCTGGAGGCTATGATGATGTTCGAGGGTCTGTCCGAGGTGGACCTTCAGCACCTGTGCGAGCTCATCGGCGATTCGGTCGAGGTGCGTGAGCTGATTCTCCGCCCGTACCATGACCAAGACACTCCCAGCCTGACTTCACTGGAGGCACTCCTGAATTCGCTCGTCGCTCGTCGTGAGTTTGCGTCGCTTCTCATGTATTTCCCCGTCCATCAACTCGCCCAGAAGGTCTTCTACACAGTCTCCACGATTCGCCATCTCCTCGCCCGAGATCGTCAGCGTCAGGCCGTCTTCGACGATATTGACGGGGAGTCTTCTGCGGCCGAGCTCCTCCAGCTCCGAACAAAATACGACCAGCTCAAGCGCGACGTCGTCTTCGTGGACGAGTACTACCGGCAGCAGCTCAAGTCCGCCAAGGAGGATTCGGCCTGAAGCCGGGCCATGCTGGACGACAACTTCAGACGTCTGGCCAAGGAGAACTTGGAGGAGACTTCGGCTCTTCAGGGGAGAGTGGATGAGCTGGAGACTCAACTGGCGTATGCGAACACGCAGATCGCCCACCTCCAGCGTTCCGCCCAGGAAACGCGTTTCGACACGGCCAGACTGATGGACTTCCTGAATTCCGGAGGGACTGAGGTGCGAGGCAACTGGCCACGTCTTCGCAAGCTTTTCCGTCGTTTCCAGAACGGGGCCATTCCGCCCGGAGACTGGAGAACTTGGATCACTGTGCAGGCAGTTGACAAGCCCTACCGCATGTATCCTCCGACCGCTCCTGGACGAGAGTGATGACGACGAGGGTGGTGCTGATGGTGACGCTCAGGAGGAGAAGACTGAGGACAACCCTCCTCCGGCCAGTGTTCCAGTGGCGACTCCGCCCAGGTGCACGCAGCAATCTTCGCCGGGGTCATCCAAGTCGGGGTCCGGCCGGGGTTCTTCGTCCAAGAAGGTCAAGGTTGTCCAACGTCGTCCCAGTGCCCACCCAAAATCGCAAGTCGGTCCTCGTCCGCCAAGGTTCCCGTTGAAGCTCTTGGTGCAGGAGGCCTGCGCTCTCCTCCCGGAGTTCATCGCTTGGCAAGATCTCCGGCCAGACGTCCAGTGGCCTATGCGCTCTGGGGTGGATTATCACGAGGCTGTCAATACTCTGGGCATGGACCAAGTTGGCCACGGCCACTTCCACCGGGACTCGCTCCTCAAGATGTTGGCAACCATGATGTACCACCGTAAGCTGGACGAGACACCCTGGGCGCAATACGTCCCTGTTTCATACTACAGGATGGCCGAGGTTATTTTGGACGATTGGCTTGACAAGGAGTACGTTCCTCCGGCCTGGCCACCTCTACGTAATCTTGCCGAGGATCTCGTCGAAGACGCCGAAGCCTCCAGCAGTTCGTCCGAAGATGACAAAGCCACCGACCCGGACTACAACATCGGCGATGCAGTCGATGAAGACGACGACAACGACGAAGATGACGAGGTCGAAGTGGTCTAGGTCACGCCAGCTCCGGCCGAGAAACATGATGATGAGGGTGACGATGGAGACAGCAGCAGCAGCAGTACTGGCGACGAACCTGCCCGGAAACCCAAGCGTAAAGCGTCCTCCCAGAGAGTGCGGTCTTCGTCAGATTCCTCGTCCGAGAGTGCCAGCCGCGTCAAGCCCAAGAAGCTCACGTATTCTCCTTCGCCTAAGCGTCCACGTCAGTCTCGTTCCGGTTCTACCTCGGGCAAGAAAACTGGCAGCCTGCGTTCCCGGGCGAGGACTGAGCTGGAGAAGCGCAAGTCGCCTCTCGCCCGGAAGAAGTACAATGAGCTGACTCCAGCCGAGTTGGCCATGATCGAGCAGCCGACCAAGGGTGTCCTCTCGTGGCGTCGTCGTGGCATCCTGAGCCAGTTCACGCCCAAGAAGAATGGCCACGAGAACCAGACACCCGGCTTTCCGGAGTACTGTCTGAAGGTGGCCTGGAACGTCTCTACGCGCGCTGGCCTGCAGTTGAAGCTGAGTATGCGCGGATCGTGGCCGCAAAACCCTGGGAGGGGATGTCCCGGAATCGGGTCAAGGTCTTCTACTTCCACAGGCGCTCGGAACTTCCGGCCGGGTTCGAGATCACGCCGAAGTCTTCTGGTACATGCTCCACCGGTTCTCCATCAAAATCAAGGCGGCCAAGGGCGAGCCCGTCGATCCGCTCAAGTATCTCCTGGCGAACACACTATACGATAGGCGTCGGGAGCAGCATGAGAACATCGGTCGCGGCATGGGGGATCGTGTCAAGCGCATCATCAAGAAGGGAGTCCCTGCGTCCGTCTTCGACGAGCCCGGCATCTGGGTTTACCCGGCCAAGATCTGTTACATCTACTTGACCGACTCGTCCACGTTGAACGCGCAAGGTGACCCATACAGCTTTGCCGAGCAGAACGAGAAGGCAGAACGAGTGGAGCCCAGCCGGACTCAGTGGCCGTATTACTGCACAGACTGCGACCGAATGGCTCACGTCTCGCATGACCTTCGCCTCCGCGAACTCTCGCCCGAGGAACGCGCGGCCAACCCTATCTCGCACACGGTAGAGTAGTTCGGCCGAAGTAGCAGGGGCTATGCATTTGAGTAGCGTAACCTCCACTAATTCAATTCCACCATCTTCGTCACTTTGTCGCTTTCATGCTCTTTGCGTCGTTCTCGTTGTGCCTCACTCAGGGTCTCATCATCACCACCATACTGGATCCAAGTCAAAATATCATCATCGTCAAAACATCTCCATAATCACTCGGCCAGACCGACGCGGCCTGGCGTCTCACCCACACCTCCCAACCTTGTCACCGCCCAGAGTCTCCTGCATTAGGCCATCCTGGGCGGATCATTGTTTCACTTCAAATCACACTCCATTTCCACGAAATTACACGAACGACGATCTGGCCCGGTCAAGAATCCCCGCCCGGGGTTACACACTCGGGTGAACATCTCCAGCCTGCATAGCCTGGAAACGAGCCCGTGCTTTCGCGCCCTGGTTGAACTCGTAGAGCAACGCACCACAATTGAGCTGCGACACTGGGAGCCATTCGGGCTCGTCGTACCCCTTCCATTTCACTTGGTACTCCCGATCCCTCTTGGACGTACGAGTCCGCCTGGACCAACGCATGTCCAGGATCTTCTCCACCTCGTACTCGTCGTTTTCATTGTTAGCTTCCCAACTGTCCTCCGGGAGGAGTGCAGCGTCAAAATCATCGTCATCGTCAACTTCGATCTGGGCGGATGGCCGTCGAGGGTAGAGTGCACGTGTAGTGGGCCCACCTTGACTCACTACTACGGCTTACACGTATGCGCACGTGTATGAGGAAGCGTAGGTTTCTTTTACTTGAGTTAAGTATACTCGAGATCCACGAGTATACTTTAAACAAGATAAAGACTCCAAGTAGCGTGTTTTGGTAAAAGATGAGAACTGCTATTTTTGTTTTATGTTTCTGACTTCCTCTAAATGTGATATTCTAAACTAGGAATCTGCCAACGGCTGGTTGGCAGGATTCTGCTAACATGCAAGTCACTCATTGGCTAAAAGATGCTGCTTTCAGCCAATAGGAATCCTAAATGTGTATGGACCACCCGTCGTGGTGGTCGTAAATGTATGTAGCCATTGGTGCACCTTACACCAAGGTCGAGGAAGTGCTTAAACCTCTAACGGACATCGCATCTGTTAGAGTAACAAGTGACTGTAGCCACTTGTGCGTGTAACCCCGTTACACCATCCCCCCGTCAAGTTTAGACGTGCCGGCCCCGGCACGTCAACCACCATTGACCGCTTGGTCAATGCGTGACGTTGAAGAGAGGGCGCTCGTAATGGAACGAGCGCGTCGAAGTTGAAGACCGCTGGCGCAGCAGCGGAGAACCTCTCTGCTGCTGAGTAGCATGCGCGGCAACGTGCGAAGCGCGTCGCTACCGCGGGGGTAGGACCCACAGCCTGCCCTTGAAGTGCCTTCGGGCGCTGTTGTTAACAACAGCGCTCGTATTACTTTCCAGCGTGTAGCGCATGGTGGGCTTCGTACGCCCTCACCATGTCCGGGACGTCTTCGATCAAGACGTTCCGCGGCTCCCATGTATCTTGGTTGGGAGGGAATCCTCTCCAACGGATACGAAAACGAACCGGTTGCCTGTTCGTTCTCGGGATACTGTGACCAACAATCCGCTCAACTATCCATCGCGTTGAGCCGTGTTCGTCACGAATTGGCGGCGGTGGCGGTGAAAACACGCCTCGTGTGTAGTCAACTTGGTGTTGACCCTGATCTCGCGTCTCCCCACGAACGAGTTCCGGTCGTGGAGTAGTTCCAGAGCGCTGGTTTCGGCGTTCTGAAGTTTCCTCAGGTTGCGGCGGCCTCCCAGGCCGCCTCGATCGTTCCGGCCAAGCTGGACTATTAACTCGACCCGCTGCTCCAGCGCGACTTCGCGCTGGTGAGGATGACGGCTTCCGCCGAGTCTTCTGCTTCGGTTCAGCCGAGCTAGGTAGCTCGTACTGCAGGTATGGCTTCAGCCGTCCGACGTAGAACGTCGGATGGAGGCGCATACTAGACGGTATGTCCAGTGTGTAGGTGTTGCCGTGCCGTTCCAGCACAGTGAACGGCCCGATGAAGCGCGGAGCGAGCTTGCTCGCCCCGAAGTCGGAAACTGCATGTTTAGGCAGGTTTTGAGTAGCTAACACAACCAATGAACCCTTCTTGAATTCATTTGTGTTGCCCCTGCCAACGTTGTCTGCGTTCAGCTTCTGTTGATCAACAGAAGCTGCAATAGCGTTTTGGACAAACCGAATGACGGCTTGTCTGCGCTGCAAGAAGTTGATTGCGTCCGAGCTGAACTCGTTCAGCTCATTTCCAGCAGTAGGCCCGGCCTCTGCGTTCGTCTTCGCGGTGTCTGTGCCCTGCACAGACCCGTTCTTCTTCTTCTTCTTCTTCTTCTTGGTCTTGTCGGCGTCTGTGCCCTGGACAGACGCGTGCTTCTTGTTCTTCTTGCGCGTAGTCGCGGCTGACACTGTGCAAGTGTCAGCGGCATTCTGCGGCTGCTGTGTTGCAGCCGTAGATCCTCCCCCACTAAAGGAAGGAGTCACCATCCCGAGTAGACTCGGGAGGCGTGGGTGCCTGATGGCATTCACGTAGAACGGTGTATGCCTGGTCGAGGCATGCACCGAGTTGTTGATGGCGAACTCCGCCATCGGCAGGCACTCGCTCCAGTGTTGGAACGAGTGAGCGTAGCTCTTAAGCACGTCTACGAGCACGCGGTTCACGCGCTCGGTCTGCCCGTCCGTCTGCGGATGGTCCGCACCATCGACATCGAAAGTTGACTCCCAAGAAGTGTAAACACTTCTTGCCAAAGGTGTGCAGTGAAGCGCGGGTCCCGATCCGACACAATGTCGATCGGCATGCCATGGTGTTTGAACACCATGTCAACGAACACAGTCACTTCAGCGGGTACCGTAGCAAGATGGTACATCTTGCTGAAGCGGTCAACAAAGACCACAACGCCCGTGTTCCCCTGGCTGTCCGGGGGAAGACCGAACACGAAGTCCAAAGACATGGACTACCAACACTCCGACGGAGTCGGTAGTGACTGCAAGGGAGCCTGCGCGAAAGGCGCAGGCTTCATACGTTGACAAACCTCGCAAGCACGGACGTACTTGCGCACCCATTTATACTGGTGGGCCCAGTAGAAGTCTCGCGTGAGAAGAAGGTATGTCTTCTCACGGCCCGGATGCCCCGCAGTCGGTGCATCGTGCTACTCGTACATGATCCTGAGTCGCAGGTCATGGTCATTGGGCACGACAACGCGGTCCGCGTTGTCGTCGACTGCACTTTAGAGTAATAACCCGTCTTGCACCCGATAACGGTGTGCACGAGCACGAAGATGCTTCGGCAACTTCTGACGAGCTTTGGCAGAAGGCGCTGAGCCGTAGGCCAGCAAGATCTTCGCGTCCGCGTCGTGCGCGTACGCGACCTTCACGTCTTTCAACAGTGACGACGTTGGGGTGCTCGATTGCATGGCGTCAATGGCATTGACGTCGGCATCAGTCGTGGCGTAGTCAGGTCGACGCGAGAGCGCGTCGGCCACCACATTGAGTCTTCCGGGTTTGTACTCAACCCGGAAGTTATACTCCGCGAAGAATGAGAGCCATCTCGCCATCCGTTGCGAGATGTGCGACGACTTCACAGCCGTCCGCAGTCACGCGTGGTCCGTATAGACCACGAACGGTTTGCTTCCGAGTAGATACACTCGGAACTTCGCGAGTGCGTACTTCATGGCAAGGCGTTCCTTGTCATGTACCGGGTAGTTGCGCTCAGCTGGCTTCAGCTGACGCGATTGGTAGTAGACGACACGATCACGGCCCTCGTGATCGTGCTGCATCAACGCACATCCGATTGCGAAGTCGGATGCGTCACACACAACGTGGACTGGGCGATCTTGGTCGGCCACCGCCAAGATCGGCGCCTCAGTCAAGCCCCGCTTGACTGCATCGAAGGCCTGCTGACACTCAGCAGTCCAAACCCACTCGGCGTCCTTCTTCAGGAGCTGGGACAGCGGGCGTATCATGCCCGCGTAGTCCTTCACGTACTTACACAAGTACGTGGCCAAGCCAAGGAACTGCCGCAGTTCCTTGACGTTCGACGGCGTCGGCCACTCATTGATCACTCTGACCTTCTTAGGGTCAGGGCGGACACCGTTCTTCCCAACGAGACCCCGAGCACGGGTATCTCGCTCACCCCGAAGATGCACTTCTTCAGGTTCGCATAGAGCTTGTGCTTGCGCATGAGCGCAAGCAGCTTCCGGAGATGCACCTTGTGCATCTCAACATCGCTCATCCCGTCCGCAGCCCGGCTGTGGACGAACACATCGTCGAAGTAGCTCGATGCGAAGTCGCGCACCGAGCGCAATAAGTGCGTCACGCACCTGTTGAAGGTCGCAGGGGCGTTCTTCAGCCCTTGCGGCATCACCAGCCACTCCCAGCGCATGCCGCTCGGCGCGCTCACAGCCGTGAGAGGGATATCGCTCTCACGCATGAGGATCTGATAGAACCCATCGCGCAGATCAAGAGCACTGTAGATAGTGCTCCTGGCCATCGAATCGATGATGACATCTTTTCGAGCTATCGGCGTCTGCGCCGGTATCGTCGCATCGTTCAGCTTGTTGTACGCATGAACGATGCGCCAACCGCCCTGTGTTTTCTTGACACAGAACGTCGGAGCACTGTGCGGGGATTTCGATTCCCGCACTTGTCCAGCTTTGCGACGACTTTCGAAGAAGTCGTCGATCGCTTTGACCTGCTCTCGCGGCAGTGGCCACTGCCGCGTGACACAGTACTTCGTCCCCGGCACGAGATCAATCTCGTGCTGGATGCCCTTGTCCTGCGGAAGCTCCGCAGGGATCTCTTCCGGAAGCACGTCCGCGTGCTCCCGTAGAATCTCGTAGAAGGGACTCGTCTTCAGCGAGTCCCAGCTCTGCTCCTCAAAGCGCACCTTCTTAGTCTTCGCACTGAGAGTGGCCTCGCTCTCAGTGGTACTCTCCATGAAGAACTGCCTCAGTTCTTCATTCTCGCTC